GGGTGACGCATGACGGAGTGAGCTCCCGTCTCTAGTTCCAGCTCCTGCCAACCTAGCAGTTCGAAAGCAAGAAATTGCAAGTAGATAAATAGGTACCACTTCGGTGGGAAGGTAACAGCGTTCCGTGCGCCTTGGTGTTTAGTCATGCCGGCCACATGACCATGGAAACGTCTTCGGACAGCGCTGGCTCTTTGGCTTTGAAACGGAGATGAGCACCGCAACCCTAGAGTCGGACTCGACTGGCTTTCAAGCAAGGGAACCTTTACCTTTACCTTTACTTATAAACATGCTGTTAGCTGCCCTGAGCCCGCTACAGCAGGGATGTGCGGGATATACATTTAAATATAAATAAATAAAAATGCTTCTGTTACATTGTTATGTACAGTCTCATGTAGGGACTGGCCCCTTTTTAGTTCCAGATTGCAAGCCATCAATGCTCCCTCTAAGCTGTGGAGTCTTGTGACAAAAATTCTTTGTGAGCTACTGGAATTAAAGTTGTGAGCAAGTGACTTGGCTGCTGCATAAATTAGTTGGCTCTGGAGCCATCCTTCCTGAGCTAAAACCAAAAATTTATGAGCCGGAGGCTAAAAAACTGAGCTAGCTCTAGGGTTGCCAAGTCTACTCACCCCTTCGAGCGGGGGAGCCTCGCCGGGCTCCGGGAGCTCTCAGGAAGTGACGTGCTACGTGCTCACGTTGGGGGCGTGGCCCAGATCGTGGGGGGAAACCATATCTGGGCCATGCCCCCAATGTGAGCGATGTGGCTGGGTCACCTCTGGTGACGCAGCTTCGGGGGCGGAGTTCCCCCCGGGGCCTGATTCCGCCGCGGCGGAAATCGGGCCTCCAAAGCGGGGATTCCCCGCCCCCCCACGGCAGCCCTAGCTAGCTCACACTAACTCAGCTTAGAGGGAACACTGCAAACCATACAGCCTAAATGTGGTGTCGAACTCCAGAACTGGGACTTACACCTCTTGACCTGGAACCTTTCTGGACTATCTTTCTTTACAAATAACTTACAGCTTTAATTACCTGTCTACTTATTCATCTTTCCTGTCCTGAACAGAAAATTTTCTGATGCTATTGCTGTCAGCCTTGTCATAGCTAGACAACATTGTTCCTAAAGACTGTGTCGTCAAAACTGGACTTTTAAATGGATTCTCCATTCATATATCTTGGAAGGATCCACTACTAGATTGTACTAAACAAGGCCTGTCTTGCTTTATGGGGTATTTTCTTTCCTTCTAGGGCTGCTACACTGTGATTCTGAACTCTTTTGAGACATATGTATACCTTGCAGGAGCACTTGCCATTGGTGTTTTAGCCATAGAGGTATGCTAACTGCTGTATAATGAATTTCACTCTGTAGACTCTCACCACATGATGAATTTTTGTATATTATCTATAGCCCTTGCAAAGTGAAAGCATTTTACACAGGCAGCAGAGGAAAACGATTCTGCACTGCCCTCTGGTGTTTGGTGTGGCTTTAGCAATAGCTCTGGAACACACACACTATGTGAATGGCTATCTGGAATGAAATGAGAATAAGTTATGCAAACAAAGCCACTGTTTATTTTGGAAGTTGTTCAGAGTTGTTCAGTATTTGACTATGCAGAAGGTTTCAAAAGTCTGTGCAAACTTGAAATATTGGGACAGTGTTCTAAATGTCCAAATAGCAAAACTATGCAAAGTAGGAGTGTTGTAAAAGAGGAAACTAGCACACACAGATTACTTGAATGTATTGACTGAAGCATGATCCTGAAGATTAGCATAGCCACATACAGATCACTAATTTATTCTATTTCCTATTAGCTTGTTTTAGTCACCAGACAGAAGATGCAAGGGCTCAAGTGGAAGATGGGAGTTCCTAGTCACACAGAAGATGTAAAGCTCATGCCGAGTAGACAGACTGAAAGGGGTGGAAGTGGTGAAGTCAGGGGAGAAACGTCTGGAGTTTCACCTCTGAAGCACTAGAAGCCTTGACTGGTCCAACAAGAAAACAGGCGGGATGATTTTATTCCAACATTAGCTTTCATAGGATGGAACCTCCCTGTGAGGTTCCATCTGCACTAGGCAAATATTTAAGGACAACATATGAATAATAACTGGCAGAATCTAGGGGGCCATAAAATGCAACCAGTACAGGGTTAGATATAATTTAGTAAAATTAGGATCTGTTGCATTGGCTCTGAGGAACTGGGATCTAGTCCACAAAAGCTTAGGCTGGAATAAAATCTTGTCCATGCTTAGTGCCACTGATCTTCTGTTTATTTTTGCCACATCAGACTGACATGGTGGCTCCAGCTTTAGATTCACTGTGGAGATGGTTAGTTACTTGCGATGGGCGAAAACCCTTAGTGAAATTGTAGAAAAACCCCTTTTCTGGAGAAGTTCAGAATTACTATTGGGTAATGTGACAGTTGGTATTACAAGTTACTATTGGGTATACGTCCCATAGTTAAGAGTAGCACAATACAAGAAGATCCATAAAGAAACATACTCATTCAACAAAGGCGCCAATACATTTTAATCCAAAAAGTAGCTCATCATTAGTGGAATTCTGTTTTGTATTTGGAAGCACATAATTTATAACAGTCGTGGTAATAGAATATGTTGTGATTCATACAGAATTCTGCTGATAATGGCTATTTTTATCCCGAAACTTGTTGGAGCAATTTGTTCCTGCACCTTCCTACCACCTTTGTTTGGAACTCATTTTAGGGGATTTAATTTCTGCTGACCATAATTAAGACTTGCCAACTCCTTCTATTTTAATTAGGTTTGCCTTGTTTCTGATTCCTTCACAGCTGTTTGCAATGATCTTTGCCATGTGCCTCTTTCGGGGAATCCAGTAAAAAGCATTCCACGATGAGCTGAGAATTTTTTCTGACCACATTTTGAAAAAAGGAAAAATGCAAGATAAACTTTATTTTTTGGTTAACAAAATGAAAAAGGTTTGTAATATATGAATGACCAAAAGGATTGTACTTCAGGGGCTGGAACTTTGAGGTGCTGTGCACTGCATCGCCTTCTCCCAGGGCAGTCATTTGTCTGAAGTCGCATAGAATGGGTTGCACTAGAGCCTCCAAGGCAGGGAGGAAGCAAATTCTGATGGTCCCCACTGAAGAAGGATGTTGTGTGGGATTCCTGTGTCTTTCATGATAATGAACCACCAACTGGAGAGGAAGAGGACCCCCTTATGTACACTAAATCGGAATTCAGCCTCCTAGCAAACTGCTCAGCCAAAGCATTGTAAGAAGGCCAGTTTTAAACAAGGGGGAAAAGTAGCTTTGACATTGAGCAAGGAGCCCAGTCAACAAAGATGAGCATGAAACCATCCCTTTCAACATCCAGGAGTTTCTTGGATCACTGGGAATGGAAAATGCCTTTGTCTGGAGTCCTACAGGAGAAACTAAGGAGACTGTGTTGGGAAATGGGAGGGGGGATAGGTGAGGACGAGGCAAAATCAGGAGTTTAGTACATACCTTCTCTTTTTTTGTGTGACGATGGGTTTTCTGTTTAGTGTTCTGTGAGACGGGGAAAGACCACAGCAGACTGATGGTTGACTCCCTTAACTTTACAACAAAAAGTATTCTCCTTTAGAATAGCTGGTGCTGCTTCCCAGGGCGGGGGAGAGATTTTATTTTCTTTTTAAGCTTCTGATGTGTTGTCACCACACCCTTATGTGCAAGATACATTGCATATCTTGGTCTTTGGTGGCCATTGATTAGCTCGTCTCCATGTTTCAGTGTGCCTTTCAGCTGTGTGGAAAAATCTCCCCAATGGCAGTCAAGAGCAGTGAGAAGCTTTTACAGCCCTACTCTGCAGAGTTCCATCTGTGGTGTCCCTGCCACTGCTTTTGTTCAGAGAAATTCCCATTTAGGTGCTTCGTGGATTGTGGGAATTACTAAGTGGAAGCAAATGTAATAATACATTCTGTCCAGAATCTTTCCCCCCTCTAATGGTGCCAAATTGTGGTTTCAGCTATGTTCAGTTGCTAGAAGCCAACTTTAGAAAACGGGCCCTTGCTTAAAAGGGAGAAGGGGCAGAACTGAAGTTCCCAAACAAGTCTTTAAAAAATCTTTGTGGCCAGAAATCCCAAAGGGTTTGTAAACACAGCTAGGTGGGGGTGCAAGCTGCACCAAGGAGAACTAATAGGCTACTGCAAGAAGACAAGAGAAAAACATGGCAACGTATGCCCTAAGGTTTCGTGAAAGCCTCGAGGTGAGCTTGCAAGGACACTAATGAGTATTCCTCACAGAAACAAGGTTATGAACAGATATTAAGCCCCTGCTGCAGATGATGCAAGCAATAAGGAAAGGATTAAAATATCAGCATCACAAACCTAGTGAAGAATTTCAAATGTTGAGCTAAATGTTTGTATGTTCCTTGACAATATTCCCTATGAAAAGGTGCAGTTAGGGTGCATGTAGGGCTCAGGGTTACACAGCTGTAGAGCAAGGAAGGCAACAGGACTGGCAAAAGCAGTTATCCCATTATCCTGTTGGTAATTTCAGATTCTATATTGAAACTAGTCCTCACATAGACACAGAGGGACATCTGAAGCCACTTTTCCCAAAGCACCCGATCGGTTCATACATGCCAGTACCATCAAGGCTGGCTGGCAGCAGCTCTCCAATGTCTCAAGCAATGTTCCCTCTAAGCTGTGGAGTCTTGTGAGTGAAAATTCTACTCTGTGAGCTACTGGCATTAAAGTTGTGAGCGAGCGATTTGGCTGCTGCATACATTAGTTTGCTCTGGAGCCCTCCTTCAAAAATGTGTGAGCCAGAGGCTAAAAAACTGTGAGCTAGCTCACACTAACTCAGCTTAGAGGGAACAGTGGTCTCAGGAAAGGTTTTTCCCCCTGGCTACACTACCCGAGATCCTTTTTACAGGTAATATGGGGTACTGAACCCAGGACCTTCTACATGCAACTTACATGCACTGCTTTGAATGTCCTCTCAAAATTAAGCCGAACGCCTCTTTAAGAGACAATCATTGCAGATGTGTCTCACCTAGTCTCTCAATTTCCCCCCCCCAAGTCTCCACCCTCCCATTGACCTGTCATTTCCCTTAGCATACTTGTATGTAATAATCCTAATGACAGGACACCTTCATCTTTAATGGCCTAGAGGGGGTAAACAGCTTCACAGAATTTGGGGGGGGGGGGGTCTTCGCTGAAGCTACCACTTCCTGTGACTAAATAGCTGGTGTCTCAGAGGAGGAAGTAACACACACATCAATTGCAGAATCCAGCCATCCCTTCTACTAATGAAAATAAATCATCACAGGGAGAGAAAGGTGAAGAATTCTTGCAGGACAGCATCTTGCCTGTGAGATTCTAAAATGAAGATGCTTAAACAAGAAAATGCACATCATCTATCACACCATACCTGTTGACACGTGCCGGAAACGCGGCGACAAACAAAACCCCGATTTGCCGCTGCTGCATCTGATCACATTCTGACACGTTAATTTGCACCAGCACAAAAAGCCATGCCTCCCCCCCCCCCCCCCGTGTTATCTGGCCCGTGTGACCAGGGCCTCCATATAACAAGTTTAGGACTGAAGTTTTAGGCAGTAGTCTTGAAAGCATTGGCCTGGGAGGAGTTAAATTCTATTTAATCAAATGGAATTTGCTTCCAAGTAAGTCAAATCTGGTGCCTGCCGGAGTGAGTTTCCAGTGTTGTAATAGCTGAGGCACTTTTTTGTTATAATCATATGAGAGGGGAGGCATAATCCAGCATGCTGGACGAGGTCCATTAAAATGAATGAGGGATGCTGGAATCTCAAGGAACTTGCAGCAGAGAGCTTAACATTGGACTTGTGATTAAATCCTAACTGATTCTGTGAGCCTAGGGACCCACTCAGTCCCTTCCACTGTCTGCTGTTGTCACTGTTACAAGTGCCTGAGAAAACAGGCCACTTGTGAAGTAAATGTTGAAATCTATTTTAAAATTTTAAAATTTTTTTTTGTTAGAAAGCTAGAGCTAATTTATCTTGTATTCCCTACTGTAATGCTTTTTTATACTGAAAGGGTCTTTTTGTAATATAAAACAGAACACTACCCTGAAACATTCTGCACAGTTTCGGTGTGCATTTCCTTAAAAAACATAAAAAACAAAAAAATAAAGATATTGTGACAATGAAGTGGTTTTTCTTTTCTTGGTTTCTGGTTTCATTTTTAAAGAATGATGCATGGCAAGTCTTTATTTTTCCCTGCAAGGAAAAGTGTGTTCACACAGCAACAGCAAGCTTTACTTAAAAGCTGGGAACGTGGACCACATGCTTGGAATTGGCAACAGGACAGAAAGTTGGCCTACCCTAGTTACTATTTTCATTCTTCTTTGGATTGGCAAATGAACTAGAAGGGCAAGAACCGGTTTCTATTTTAAGCATCAATTTCCTGAAGTGGCCCATATATGAACCGGCTAAAGTTTAGACACACAAAGCAACTGCATTTTTAATAAAGTTCTGTAAGGCAGTCCAAAACCCCAAACATTTTCCATGAGACCAGAGCTGAAACCCCAATATCAGCATAACTTGAAGATATGCCTGTCATGTGTCCTTACACCAGTTTGAAACTATTGTCCTCCTTGGATTGGTAATATAGTCCTGTTTTACCCATTCAACTATAGTGTTAATAATGATTAAGCAGCCTCCTGGTGAGCAAGTGATAGATTTATGCAGGTCAATAAAGATCCATGTCTTCAAACTGGCTGAACAGGTAAAAAGTGTGATGCAGATAAGATCGTTGGCTAGGTTGCCCTCATGCATAGCTGGACCTTCAGCTATCACATTCATCATAGAAGCTATGAAATTAAACAGGGCAAAGCGGTGCCTCCTTCAAACTATAAAGTTAATGCCACAAAGAGCACACTGTGAAGTCAGTTCTGAATAGCCATGTTAGTCTGCTATAGCAAAACAAAACAGAAGTCCAGTGGCACCTTAAAAGCTAACAGCATTAATTGAGTTTTCATGAGTCAGAGTTCACAGAGCTCACTTCCTTAGATGCAATGAAAATCACTTTACTCATTTTTATTCAGGCCTCTCTTTGCTGAACTCCTCCCTTTTCATCCTCCCACTGTGATTTTATGCATAAAAATGAAGGAAGTTATTTCTATTTCTACTGTAGCTCATGAAGTGAGCTCTGACTCATAAAAAATCATTCTGGAATAAGCGCTGTGAGGCCTTAAGGTGCCACTGGTCTCCTGGTTTGTTTAGCTATAAACGTACTTAACCTCTTAGCTACATGTATGCAAGAGAGAGCAGGTGAAATGCAGTTTTTCCAGGATCATGCAAAAAGCAGTGCCAGCAGCAACTTTCCAGTGTTGCCTTTTGAACACCAGCCCAATATTGTTGTCAGGCATGTTTCTGTCAACCTGTGGGTCTTTGCCCTTATGGAGTAGTACAAGTCACAATGATTTGAATGACTTGAACTCTCTGTAGTAAACTTTAATAGCCCAGTCAGATTTGGCACAAACGACTGCTCTCTTGGTACCATGCCCTTAGCATTATTTGCCAACTTCTCAGCCTACTGGAGAAAGCCACAGCTGTCTTCATTCAGTACAGAAGCCCTTGATGGTTGAGATGGCCTGCTACTACAGGCAAGGTGCAATTCTTGAACAGAAGCGCTGTAGTTTAGTAGAGAATGCTTAATTTGTGGTAAAATTCTTGAGAGACAGGAGTGGAGTACCAACCTCCAGTTTTCAACCATAGCACCAGAGAGCATTTTAAAATCAGACCTTTGCCTTCTCCAGATGTAAAATTCATGCAAGTTTTTTTGTTTGCTTTGCAAAGATAAGTGAGGAAGTCGAATACTGAAATTTGTTTCTTCAGGGAGATGGTTCTTCGGCTATCAGCCAGATCTAGGGCATAAGGATGTGTATGGGATTCATCTTTAGTATGAGAAATGCAAGAAACAAGCCAAGGCAGATGTTATGGTATCATTCACAATGATTTTCTTTAAAAGCTTGCCTCATCATAGAAATATTGGGACCAACAGAGATCAAAAAGGTGGGATAAAAAGATCCAAAAGTCACAATATGAGCAAGTATCAATTCCCCACCCAACCCCTGCATCCACTCACAT